TATGTTCCTATTTTATTTTAGTTTTTAATAATAATAATAATAATAATAATAATATTTAATTTATAATATTAATAATACTCCTTTATATTTAATGTTTTAATGTCAGTAAATGATCACCAGTTTAGATATTAGAAATTTAAACTTTCCATGAGGGACTAGAACCAGCAACCTTCTGGTTACAAGCCCTGAGCTCTCTACAGTTTCCCATTTGAAAACAAAAAAAAAGTAAATGCAAACCTCAAAGTCATTATGTGTCCATTGGCGCAGAAGCAGGCCAGACAAACGCTGTTACAAACCGACACCACGTCAGCCCGCAGCACGAAGGACGACTCAGTGATGTTATGCACATATAGACAGGCCTGGGAGGGCATGAAGAAGACCTTGGCCTGCCTCTCTGAACACACTACAGCTAAGTGACCATCTCCACTGGCCTCTTGAGAAGACGAGGGCGAGAAGTTGACCAGTTTCCGCTTGCGAGGTCGATCTGGGTCATCGGGGGCATGTTGGTCCCGCCACACCTCGTAGGGACTGTTGATAAGAGCACCTCCACAGTCCAGAAAAGCAAACCGCAGAACGGAGCCCTTCAGCATTAACACTGTGCCTGAGAGGAAAAACCAGAGAGAGAACAAAAACATGAGGATAGGAACATTGCATTCAGGGGCATTCACGAATTAGAAAAGGAAGAAATCAAGAGATACCAGTGGGGGCCACAGTAACGGGGTCTTCCTGGCGTTCCTGCTCGTCCATAGGAATGGACATTGGGATGATGAGCACCAGGCCCAGACTCGTGCCCACCCACAAGCATGGCATAGGCAGGGTGTCTGACTTACGTCCGTACGACTCTACAAACTGCAGGGTGGTTACGGCCTCTTTAGTCTCTCTGTCTATGCTGGAAACGCTAGAGCTCCGTGACCGGCTGAACGAGTTTTCTCGACTCTCTGAGAAAGAATGGAGAAGGGGAGAGAGAAAGAGAGGGTGGGGGAGAAGAGAAATGTCAAGAAAGATGGAAGATAGAGGGCAGACGGATGAGTAGTAAAAGATAAAGAATAGCAGAGAGTGAAAAGATAACAGAAAAAGATGGTAGAAGAATCCTTATGCTGTTAAAAAGTGGAATAATTGAAAGTGGAGTCACTCCATATGTGCGTTCACAATAACATTTAAACCACATCAACCAGAATCCAAGTAATAAAGGGGTACAAATGTGCAATTGCAAACACAAATCTATTGTTTTTTAGATTTGTTATTGAAAAGGTAAAAACATTAAATAATGTACGTACAGGACAGGGTGGCACATACAGAACGAGTGAACACATCTTAAAATTCTCCTGTTCACATGATCAAATGTGTCACAGATTTCATTCACATGCACAGAGGACACATAGAACACACTCTCACAATTTCAAATCCATTCATCACCTTTACTGTCCTTTTGACCTTGAAATGCTTCCAGGTTCATATCCACTGCATATTCATATAGCCAGGCCTACACAGAAAAATGTTTCTGGACTTGCCTGATTTGTGCTTCATTCGATTATTTAAACTCTCTCTCTCTCTCTCTCTCCCGCTTATCTTAATCTGAAGGATGTCATGAAAAAAAAAAAAAAAAAAACCCAAGCAAAAGTAGCAAGATTTTTGTTGCAATACAATATGTATTTTGATAACCTATGACTGGTTGTTGTAATTGTCATGTCTCATTTGACATTCATTATCAATGTACTATGTCACGCATTACAAGGAAACAAAAATTCTATATTACAATTTGTAGTGTTTTCCATTGAGAATCCTGTTTATCCTGCAGAACAAAAGTGTACTGCATTCTCATAACATAAACCCATTATAAGAAACACTGACAGACATTTGTCATAATGTCAGAACATGGGTTTGTGTGTGTAGTGATGAAAGGAAAGTAATTTGTGGAGAGAATACCAAATGTTTGTAGATACATCAAAAAAGCTGTGGGTTTATAAAGTGTCAGTTACAATATTTTATAATATGCCACATTACATATCATAATGACCTCTATAATTTATTATTACTTAAATACTAAACTTCTGCTTCTGGGTCATTCTCAGGAAACAGTGTTGTGTGCTACATGTGTTCCCATGATATTCAAACATATGAATAAATTAATTAACACCCAATAACATGATATAATAGATGTATTTCTTATTCTCTTTAGTGTCTAAGTAATTAAATAAATGTATTTATAATACATATATAAAAAATATATATATAATGATTTATTTTCACACAAAACAGGAAAACTTACTTTAAATTATGTGCTAGCTAAGAACATTATTAATAATAATTGCATTTAAATTTCCCGCATTTAGCCTCAAAACATCTTTAAAGGTCAGCAAAAACGTTTTTCAAATTGTAAGAAATTCAAATTGTAAGAAAACATGAATGGTTTGAAATAATGTAGCATTTTTGTCACACCCCATTGGACTTTTGTTGTGTTTTCTTCCCCCATGTGCTCTGTGTGACCTAGTTTTCCCTCATGTTTGATTGTGTCATTCAGTTCACCTGTGTCTTGTTAATTATCCTTGTTTTCCTATGTATTTAGTTCTAGTCTGTCCTGTGTTTCCTCGTCCAGTTTTAAAGTTGAGTTGTGCATGTTACCTGCCTGCCTTCTGTGGATACCTTCTGTGTGGATTAATTAAATACTGTTTACGTTCATCTTCTTCTTCGTGCGCTCATTATACATCGCACCCCTGACAATTTTACATTACTGTTCAAATATTTTGGCTTTGTAAGTTTTAAGAAATTAATACTGTTATTCACTAAAGATATTTAAATTGATCAAGAGTGAAAGGTCTATTTCAAATAAATGGAAAATGGTTATATTTCACACAGTATTACAGATATTATTGTATTTTTGATCAAATAAATGCAGCCATGACATTGGAGGCTCTTACCGACCCAAAACGTATAATCGGTAGTGTATTTAGGGTTTTGGCATTGAATTAATAAATGAACAAACACATTTATTTATTTTCTTGCACAAACAGCACTGTTTCTTGAGAATGACTCTCATATGGCCCAGTGAAGGTCCTCTTTCATCTCCTGGTGAAGGTACACATGTCCATGAAACACATAAAACCATCATCATGATCATGATAGCACTCCTTACTATGTTCTGTGTACACTATCCCCCAGTTTGAATCCTAACCATCAAAGACCTCACAACATTCACCTCTACATTGATGACAACATTAATGATTGCTAATACTGACAGAATCATCAGACCTCCCTTAGACATTGACATACAGAAAGTGTTTTCCTGAAACAGGTTAAGCCTCGCCTTGGACGGATAACTTTTTGTCACATGTAGTCCAGGACTAGATTTAATCTGTGTCTCGGAGATGTCACAGTGCGTGGGATGGACAGACGACTACAAGCCGACAACACTGCAGATCGACAGAGGCTGGTGTGAAACACAAAGCAGACATCATTGTAATGTTCAGCTGCTAGCAACTACGGTGTCAATCCAAACCTGAAGATGAAGAGCAAGGTGAGACTCTGAACATCATTCAACGTGACGAGAGAGGGGTTCTGACCAAGCAACTATGAGCCACAGGACGGGACAGAGCGAGACGTGACGCTACAGGGTGAGTGGTCCTTGTGACCCTCAAAAAGCCCCTCCTTACCTCTCTCGCTCCAGGAGTAGGTGGTGATGTGATGCTCATCATGAGAGTACATACTGACTCCGTGTAACTGCTGCAGCATGGCTCGTCGGGACGGATAACCTATCCATCAAACGCACACACACACGACACCCCAACGGCCACAGTCACACACATGTAAATACAACCATACGCGACCACGACATACAAAATGACACATACATAGACACAAATGTCAGATGTATACCAAAACACCAAAAAGACATGACCAGAACATCACGGCGTACAGAGAGTGACAGAAAAAGAGAGAAAGAGAAAACCGATAAACCAATATGCAAGAAAGAAAGAAAGAAAGAAAAAAGGGTCCTGACAGGTCGATATTTTTTCGAATACCTGCCCACAACATTTCAGTAGATTAGATAGCCAAAAAAAATAAACTAAATAAAATTAAAACCGTCGACAGAATGAAATCCTTTCTGGGCTGTGATGTGTGTGTGTGTGTGATCACAATAATTAATGGGACAATTCACTCAAAAATGAGATTTCTGTCATCATTTACTCACACTCACGTCGGTCCAAACCTATAATACTGGCTTCAAAATGTTCAAAAACTTGTTAAATGGTGTATTAGTAATGGGAAGATCAGATAATTTTAGGATCTTTGAATCTTGTTCAGCAAAATGAACAAATCTTTATTCAAGTCATTTCATTCATATGAACAGAGTTATTAAAAATAATTAAAATGTTACATTTCCAGTAGCCAAATTTCTCCAACACGTCTACTTGCGTCAACTTTCACCATATTCCAAATGAGAAAATCATGATAATACCAGCCAAGACAAATTATGAGAAATGATTAATTATTAAATTACTACTCAATTGTGTCTTCTTGTCTGAGTTGTTCATATTCTGGGAGCTTGTTTCCTCTAGCCTGTTGCCCTAAAGCAGAACCTAAAATATAACAGTCACAGTAAAATATCGTTGTCACCCATGTAATCATTTCTGTTACCTTTACATAGCCTATGCGGCTTTCATGTCACAAAAGAATGAATGTCTATAAGACCAGAAGACTCGAGAGGTGAACAAAACATTTGTTTCCTTCTGTTTACCATAAAAAAGTATATCGAAATGGATGAATAGCTCATGGGAGACCAATCACTTTAGCATATAATATGAGATATATGAATACTTCTATGGTATAGAGATTTGTTGACTTTTTTTGGACATTTCTAGTCACTGTGTGCTTTCACAAAAAGCAGCATGAACATTCTTCAAGATATCTTTTTTTATGTTCCACAGAACATATAAAGTCTAATGGGTTTAGAACGACATGAAGGTGAGTAAATAATAACAGAACTTTCATTTTTGGGTGAACTATCTCATTAACACTGACCAAGACGGGACTCTGATGTCTCACAGCATTCATTTCCCAAGCAATATAACACAAAGCAAACTGAACACAAACCCACAAATCCACTCTCACACAGTGCAAAATGGTCACACATAAAATCACATATAGGTTTGTTTAAAGACACACAAATTGACCTTTCTAACAACGACACCTGTATCTGCGGGAACTGTGAACATAATTAGTCGTATCCATCCTGTTAGCCTGTTAGTGTGAATATTTCATGATATAGATACTGAGAACTGATCTGCTCGCTCGTTCACACTCTCTCTGGGACTCTTTTGCTGAGGTCACTGACTGTCAATCACTGCAGGGGAGCCAAATGACACACCTGTTATTAGAAACAGCAACAACACCCTCTCTCTGTGGGACAGGCAAACGATTCTGAGGAAATTAATTTTTTCTGTCTGTTGTGGGTTCCTCAGTGATTCACTTTTCTGATCCTCTGTGTTTATAGTTTGTGTACACACATAAACGTTGCTTAGTCTTATAGACCTTAGTCAGCACCATATTTAATTTCTGACAGCAATGAAAACAAGGCTGTGATTTATAGAAGTACAGTGCGTTCAATGGATTGTGCTGTTGTTTACCAGCTTACCAATTGTTCAGCTTACAACATCTTTCAAAATGTCTTCCAGTAGACAAAAACTCCATAAAACGGTTTGAAAATTATGAAACTGTTATGAAAATTTCATTTAATCTAGGACCTTTATACAACGCATGCCATTGTAAACACTGTAGTCTATCTCTCACTACCTTGTTTTTAACCATGTAAAATTTAATATGGCGTTTAACTTTTTCTTTTAACATGTTAACAAATGATTCTTGTTAAACTAATCAAATGAGTGTGTGACTGAATGATTGACTCACAAAAAGATGCCCACTTATCGCCACATACTGTACTTCCGTTATGATGTAACCTGCAGAAAATGCTCTAAATGAATCAGTGAATGATTCTTTTTGGTAAATGGGATGTGACTCAGTCGATTTTAATGGGATAATGGGATGTCAAGGAGACAATGAGATGATTGAAAGTCCCATTCACTACCACTTATTCATTGACTTGTAACAAATTTCTGTAACTGTCCTTATTTTGCTTAAATCAAGTATGTGCATGTGTCTTTCCATCCTTAATGCTGTTTATATGAGATACGTATCCCAACTACCCGCAGCTCTCTCTTCCTGTAGCGTGTCTCATTAGCGTCGGCCTGGCTCTCTTCGCTGCTAATTGACCTTTAATTATCCCAGCGACCCCACTGCGGCACCACATGCATGTTACTGTAGCGATAGGGACGCACGCCACGCGTTGAGACCAAAGAAGCAGTAGGCAGTCCTCTAACGGACAATAACACTTTTCCAAGTGTGGATAAAAAAATGGGCCTGTCTATATCTAGACAGACGTGGATCTATTTGAATATCGCAATATTATTCAATTAAAAAATTTCAAGCTGAGTCTGTGCAGAAGAGTTTCAGAGATTAATATTGTGCTTTCAAAACTGCCCAGGTGGAAATAAAAAAGAAAGAAAAAGGGGTGATGGGAAGACGTTGTACTAGCTTGTGAGAAATCAAAATTTTTTCTCAAAAATGAAATCAAATAGAGATTATTAGGTTAAGGCAATATCAGTGCACAGCACGTCATTCTGGGAACCATCCAGTCACTGTGAAAACCTTATGAACTCTGTGACACTATTTGTACGTTTGCTGTTCGACTTGGGCTGGTTGTCCTGGTTATCCCAGCGACCCCACTGCGGCACCACATGCATGTTACTGTAGCGATAGGGACGCACGCCACGCGTTGAGACCAAAGAAGCAGTAGGCAGTCCTCTAACGGACAATAACACTTTTCCAAGTGTGGATAAAAAAATGGGCCTGTCTATATCTAGACAGACGTGGATCTATTTGAATATCGCAATATTATTCAATTAAAAAATTTCAAGCTGAGTCTGTGCAGAAGAGTTTCAGAGATTAATACTGTGCTTTCAAAACTGCCCAGGTGGAAATAAAAAAGAAAGAAAAAGGGGTGATGGGAAGACGTTGTACTAGCTTGTGAGAAATCACAATTTTTTCTCAAAAATGAAATCAAATAGAGATTATTAGGTTAAGGCAATATCAGCACGTCATTCTGGGAACCATCCAGTCACTGTGAAAACCTTATGAACTCTGTGACACTATTTGTACGTTTGCTGTTCGACTTGGGCTGGTTGTCCTGGTTGGCGTCCTTCACGTAAACAGGATTATGGACACAGATGACGGCACAGGAGGAGACACTGCCTATCGCTGCGATTGGATTAGTGAATGACAGGAAGTTGTTGCCCAAGCGAGGATATGATCTAAGTGATGCGTTACCGGCCGCTGTACAGATCACGCTAATATGAACAAGACATCTGCTTTTGGGACATATATGACTGACAAGGACAAAGAATTGACATGAGATAAAGACATACAGAAGTCACGTTTGCTGTGTGCAAGCCCACGATAACAGTTAAAGGAGTCATACCACATACAACACAACTGTTTTAAACACTTTTGACCTGATTCAGCATGTGCATGAACCCACACACAATTGTGGACATACTCTAGATTTAATCATCAGTAGAGGTCTAAACATTTCATCCATTGTTATTAAGGACGTAGCACTATCTGATCACTTCTGTATTTTCTTTAATATATTGATTGTGCATTCATTGAATGAGCACTGTGCGATGTCCGAACTGATTGCACTATATTCTACGTATTATCGTTTTCTTAAATTCATTTTAAACTTCTTAAATCAATTGTTTTAATCATTTTCAATGTTTTTAAATTCCTTGTTTTATTGTTGTGATTTTTTTTTTTTTTCTTTTCTTTTATGTAAAGCACTTTGAATTACCATTGTGTATGAAATGTGCTATACAAATAAACTTGCCTTGCCTTGCCTTGCCTTGCCTTACATAATGGACCTAAATATAATAATAATAATAATAATAATAATATTTTTTTATTCTGAGGTTCAAGGATATGAGAAGCAGCAGGCAGAGAAAGATGAGAAAGGGATACATTTGTTTTTTCATGATATGACCTCTTTAAAGCAGGGCTCTTGTAACACACACTCCCACATTTAAATATGGAGGTGATGTGAACAAACATTTGAACATACACACATATTCTGATTATGTGTTTTGTAGAAATGTGTTGTGTTGATAGTGATTGGATTGTCTATGTATTTCATTTTGGTAAATTCCCTTCTAGTGATCCAGATGAAACAGCTGCAATTTCATTTCATATTATGAAAGATGCTCGAAGAGAAATAAGTCCACAACCATAATCGTTGCGTAAACTCCAACCTAAACTTGCGAAGAGACTGCCAACATAAATTTTTTAAATTCACATCATCAACCCACCTGTCAAACGACTGTGTGTAGAGGTAGTAATTAAAAGCATTAAAAACAAAAAGTATAATTAGGCTCACAGCGGTGTCTGCCTCAGCCTCCATGTTTGAAGCACAAATACGGTCTCAAACATAAAAGGGACAGAAGATCCCAAAAGCTTGAAAAGCCGAGTCGTTTTTGTGAGTCACACTTTGAAAGGTTTGTGCCGTTTCTCCTTTTCGTTTTACTTTTGATGACTTTTGAAAGGCTGGTTAATAAAATAACACACATTTTATCAACGTTTATCCCATTCATCCTAATACTGACTTTAATCAGGATAAATGGGATTTAAGTTTAATTAAAGTTTATAACACAAACCTATTATGAGATCACAAAAACGTTCCACCAAAGTTTCAGCAAAAATGCAGTATGGTAATTGGTGCATAAGATACTCTGTTACCCCTTTTCCACCAACAAGGTGCCAGTGCCAGAGCCCAATCTGGTCCTGTTTTGATATAAATACATGGACATTAATTGTAAATACAAACCTATATGACTTAATCTTTTCCCTGAAACACATAGGAAATGTTAGGAAGAATTACTACAGTCACCAGTGTAGCAGCACGCACCTAATGATGTGACAAAATTCACCTACTGTGCTTAACTTGCATGTTGAGGTTGTTTCCCTTTTAAGAATGTTATGCTTGCATTTTGGTTGGAGTGCATTAAGGTGATTCAGTCGGTTCACGGTTTATCATTCAATTAAACACACAAATACCTAGATGTGGCGACCCCAACGTGCAAAATGTGTCTCCGCCTGGGCGACCCATGCTGCAGCTTGCTGTTCCCAAAACTCTGGTTTCTCGAGAGTGACTAAATTGGCAATCACTAGTCAAACCACAACAACAACAAAAAATATTTGGTGATGTTCAAGAGCATCAGGGTCAGCACATGTAGGTGTTAATGCAAACACAAGCAACATGGAAATTGGGTGAAAAGCAGAGAACCGGTTAAACCACTTTAATGGACTCCGACCAAAAAGCAAAAGTACATCTCTTAAAGGGGAAACAACCTCATCCCACAACTTAACATTCTTAAAGGGGTATGAAACCTCACAAGCACAGTATGTGAATTCTGTCACGTCTTGAGTATATGTCGCCACACTATAGTGAATTTTACTGCATGGAAAAATGGTGCAGTTAAATTAAATAGTGACTGAGGCAGTCAGTCATCTCCTTTAAGTTTCCCCAAAGGAAAGTCAATTGGGTTTGGAGCAACATGAGGCTGAGTAAATGATGATAGAATTTAAATTTGAGGGTACTATCCCTTTAAAACCAAGAAAAAAGACCATGATGTACCATATTTGTTTGTGGGCAGTTATAGCATTGTTCGGCTCTCAAATGTGGCTCTGGCGGTGCTGGAAGAGGTCCACAGATCCCCTGGTCGAGCACCGGCTCAGTGGAAAAGGGATATGCTTCCTGTGTGGCATGACAGGGCTTTAGTAATCACCAATCTCTCCAAAAGAGTGGAAAACAAAACAATAAAACCAAAGAAAAGGCAGTGAAATCAGTGTCAGAAAACATAGCAATAAAACCCCATACCCTCCTCCTTGTATCCCTTGATGAGTGTTAAACATGCATAAGGGGAATGGGCAGTGGGGGAATAGGGGAAAAAGTGTAAATGGATTAAAGGGATAAAGGAGCTGGAGAACAAGCACACACCTTCGGTGAGGGAGGACACAGGCAAAGAGACCTCCATGCATGCGGCGGACTGGGCCTTGCGGAAGGGCGGTCGGCCTGGCCCCCTGCGGGCAAGGCGTGGCCCTTCAGGGCCCCCCGGGACTCTGGCCCTCCCAGTCGGACAGGGCTGGGAGGTGGGGCTAGTGCAATGTCCATTCACATGATCTGTAACAACGGGCATAGCATTAGCAAAAAAAAAAACAAATGAGATTGAAAATAGAAGAGTGTGTGAGAGAGAAAGAGAGGTGAAGAGGGCAGTGGGATGAAAATGCAGCCGCAAAGGAGAGAGAAGCGTTAACAGTAAGAGGAAGCAGTCATATAATAGCAGCTTTAATCAGCCAAAAATCATTCTGATTTGAAAAGGAAAAAGGAAAATGGAAAGGGGAGGGGAAAGGGAATTGGAACGGGAAAAGGGAAAAGGATAATGGAAAGGGAAGAAAAAGAGGGAAAAGAAAAGGAAATGAAAAAGGAAAATAAAAAGGCAAAAGAAAAGGAAATAAAATGGGAAAAGAAAAAAAATAAACAAGGAACAGGAAAAGGAAAGGAAAATGTAAAGAGAAGTAAAAATACAAAAAGAAAAAATGAAAAGGGACATGGAAAAGGAAAGGAAAGTTGCAGGTAATGGTAGCTGTTCAAAACATTAAGCATTCAGAGAGGCCTTCTCATCCCTTCTCAACTCAGACACTTGAAAGGACGAAGGTGGAGGACTTGATTTTACAGGAAAACAGAAGCTTCCCTCCCTCTGCAGTCTGTTTATGCAGGAAGTTGAGGGAGGTCTGGTTGAGTATGCAGGAAAAGACCCAGATTCAAACTCCCTGCATCTAAAACAGCACATTTTTCAACAACACCTCCAACACACCTGGATTAAAGTCTTACTAGCGTCTACCTGAGAGAGACATCCTGTAGCCAGAAGCTCTCAGATGGAAGCAGCCTGTTTATATGTTCCACAGTATCCTCTAGGTTATGACTGACTCCTGACTATTTTGACATTCTAGCTGTATATTTCCCTCCCTTCCTCCATTTTATATCTATCAGTCATTTTCATGCCAACGCAGCCATTCAAATCCACGACTGTCTGCTGTCATTTCATATCAGTGGGATTTCTACTGTCACTTTTATATCACACAGTAGACTTGGCAACCAAAACCTTGACACTGACTCATGGTGCAACAAAGCACTATTAAGAACACCATCTGTAGTATGTTTGAGAAACTCCAATCATCATTTTAAAGACTACATTTGTAGTCATATTCATATTTTCTTGTATGCCCAAGTTTTTATAGTACAAGTTACACACTAACATTTAAAATTTTGGGGTCAGTAATAATTTATATATAAAATATTTTATGGTTTTGAAAAAAAATAATTAATCAGCCCATCTATATTCAACAATGATAAGAATAAGAAAAGTTTCTTGAGCACTAAAATCAGCATGTTATAATGATATAAGTATAATGTGACACTGAAGACCGGAATAATGGCTGCTGAAAATTCAGCTTTGCCATCACAGGAATAAATTATATTTTAAAATTGCTTACATTTGAAAACATGTCATTTAAATTGTAATAATATTCCCACAATATTCCTGTTATACACTGTATCAATCAAATAAATGATGTCCTTTCAAAAACATTTAAAAAAATCTTACCAATCTTACAAAGTTATGAATGATAGTGTATGTCTATGTTTTATTTTTGTAAAAAATATATTGCTACATCAAACAAATTTTACATTAACTCTCATGACACTAACTAAAATCCAATGTAATGTGGTAACTGAGCAGGAATACAGCATCTTCAGATGATTTTCCTGCAGGACTGATATTCTGTTCATGAAAGTCAGAGAACATCATCTTAGAGTCAGGATGAGAAAGCCCAAAAAATGGAGCCCAGTCCGCAGATGTCTTTACATCTGTTTTCCCTGGCCTGCACCAGGGACAGAGTTTCTAAATGGGCCCAGGTTCATGAAAAGATCCAAACTGAAGGTTTAGGATAGTAGAAAATATTACAAAAGCCCCGGTGCATTCAAGGGGAGACAGTTCCAAGCACAAAACTACAGAGAGCCTACCTGTAGACACACACCCTAACTCTCTATTTGAGCCACACACACATACATTACACTCACACAAAACTCATAAATTGGCTTTCTAATAAGTATTGATTTTTTATGTCCTTTTTCTGTTTTTATGACCTAAACCTTCAAGATATTTTCATATTACAAAATGACCCAACACCCGCTTTCTAAGTTCTAATATTTTTCCAAGCACAAATCGAAACCTTCGAGGATTATAAACATGTGTAATCACTCATGGCCCAGATGGTCTATTTTCCTTTGTAATGCTGCACAGCTTGACCTGTTGAAGGAACACTTTCATTATTACACATTAGGTCAAGTTTGGCACAAGAAATTGGAGAGGAAATTGTTCAGCCCTCGGCGAGAGGTGTGTTAGTCACAGCCTAGCATGAAACAAAAAGCCAGACAAGAGGAAAGAAAAAGGAAAAGAGAACAAGGAAAGATATTCAGCGAAAGAGACAGAGTGAGTATTTCCATACAAGGCTGAAGAATGATCCAAGTCACGATGAGGCAAGCTCACTTGCAGAGAATGATCTCATTACATTAGTGCATGTCGATCAGAGGTAGAAGATGGTCCAATCACAAATGAGCAGGCTTTTCATAGAGTTAGAGAATGGTCCAATAGGGTTAGAGCATGTTCTGAGGTATAGAATGACCCAATTACGATGGAGCAAGGCCTTTAAGACGTAAAGGATGAACCAGTCGCGAAAGAGCAAGATTTCAGTGATACCTTTCTTAACTTAAGAATGAGTATGTTGAACAAACCACCTTTGTAAACACTTGCAAAATGTACATTGAGAAGCATAATAAAAAAAAGGCCACACGCAGAGATGTGAAGAGGGAAATTGTGCGCCACGTCATGAATTCAAATGAGAAGAAAGTGAAAAAATAAAAATGCATTAAATATGAACTGTAAAATGCAAAGACACGGGGCTTCATCATGTCATTCTCAACAGGATGGAAACAGAGAAAGTTGATGCATCGAACGCAAGAATAAGGAAAAAGGTCTGCTCGCTTTCGGCCTACCGTACCAAGATCAGTCTTAAGATCTGTGGGTAGACTTAACTTTCTGCCTGGTCCCTTGACTGAAACAAAAATAGGACAGAAAGGGGCAATTAATCCAGTTAAGAAAACAAAACAAAAGGCAAAATAAAGAGATCAGCTCAAATTAAAATAAAAAAAGAAAATCATTTAGTGTAACACATGCAGGTGTACACACTGACATGTAATGTTTCATACGACAGTCATGCCTGATCGCACACTGCCACCAGATAAACAGATGTGTCTGTTTTTAGACAAGCAAACACATGCATGCAGAACACATCTAAGTTCAAACGCATAACTCAAAATCCATTTTTTTAATTTCCGTTTCCTTCCATGTTGATAGGGAAAAAATGCATGAATCAATCAAAATAACTGCAAAATATACAGATTGGATCTACTGTACAATATTGAACAGAAACCACAAAAACCGCACAGAAACCAATCACGTGTGTGCATGCATACGCAATTAGTAAAACAAACACAGAGGTTCAAATTAAAGTGCAATCAGATAAACAAAGTGAGGTCAACATTTTGCAAGCATTTTGCACTGAAAAGGTTAGAGTGTATACTCAGCTGAATGTCTAATATGGCAGGATTACTGCTGAAATGGAATTTAAAAGAAAATTTGAAAAAATATGTACGAGTGGATCCAAAATACTAATTCAACATCAGTTTCCAATGTTATGCAGGCAAAGAAATTTAATAACCAGGCACGGTATCCCAAAGAACGTCTCTCAAAGTCTCTATTTATATGATGTACTCCAGAACACTAAAACACATTGAGCAGAATACTTCCCAAGATGACACTCTCCTCCTAAGCATCATTTCGATTAAATGATTTTAAAGTAGGGTGTGATATTAGAATGTCATTTTCAACAGGGTGCTAATGCTTTTCCACTTGTGGATTCCTCGAAATGGTTTGATGAATGCAATTTGCTTTCCTATGTTGACCAAAGAGGTCTATAATATCTGGAGAAAGCTATCCATTAGCACTCTCATTCATCTTGGCTGGAGCAAGGCCACTGTTTTACCATTTTAAGAGTCCTTTATGTTACTTGCAAAAATTTTTAATTTTCATTTTGAATGGAAGATGATTTTTAGAAGTACACCAAATGGTGTACTTGTGGCATTAACTGACCCCTGCTAACTGGATCATACTAGCAAACCAAACCAAAAGCCATATATATATATATATATATATATATGGAGATGTATCATCCTCTCTCTCCATCTCTTCTTCCATGTATGTGGAGTTGGATGAGATTTGAGCTTAAGACAAAGCGGAAATTGCTCCTGAAAATGGCAGTAATTAACATTCTGGGATCAATAACCTGTGCCTTAGATGTGGAATGCTTCCCATTACTCTCTACACTGAAAAAATCAATCTGTGCACACATGTGCAGGTGTGTAAACATGAAAGAGAGATCCACAGGAAGTGTGGGCTACCTACACGTTGATATGAGAGCAGCACATTAAAGGGTTAGTTCACCCAAAAATGAAAATTAGCTTGTGTTTTACATGCATCCTAGGTGTATATGACTTTCTTCTTTCAGACAAATCCAGTAGGAGTTATATTTAAAATTGTCCTGGCTATTCCAAGCTCTATCATTGCAGTCAGCGGGTGTTGCAGTTGAACAGTCCACAAGCCGTCAAATAAAGCGCGCGCATCCATAATAAAACATGCCACAGACGGCTCACATGGGGGCGAATCCATGTGTTTTTGTAAGAAAAAATATCCATATTTCAAACATAATAAACACTTTTCTCTAACTTTCGTTATCTGTCATATGTGGCATGATGACGTACTGCAACACCCGCTGACTGCAATGATAGAGCTTGGAATAGCCAGGACAATTTTTAATATAACTCCGACTGGATTCGGAAACTATATTCTCCCTGTGTGTGTTTTGTGTGTATAGACTGAATAAACCCATGTTGGACATCTTTTGTTACTGTTATCCAGTGGCACAGCTACAATGGCAAACATAACAGCTGGCATCCGCTGATTTCAACGTCAGACCTCAAGTGGCCACCCTGTATTATTGTTT